GCACGAGGGAGGCGCTCAGGGATTGCGTGGGGTCCCTGGCATTTGAGTGTGGGGACGGAGCGGGTAGTTTTATTGCGCACATTGCAAGGGAGCAGGAGAGGCAGTGTGCACGCACCCATTGCAAGGGAGCTGCAGAGAGGCAGTGTGCATACAATGCAATGGAGCTGGAGAGAGGTAGCGTGCACACGCACATTGCAAGGGAGCGGGAGAGAGGTAGTGTGCACACACATGTACATTGCAGTGGAGCTAGGGAGAGGTGGTGTGTGCGCACACATGTGCACGTGCACTTGCACACGTTGCAAGGGAGCAGGAGAGAGGGAGTGTGCACACACAGATTGCAGGAGTGGGAGAGAGGTGGTGTGCATGCACACACACACACACTGCAGTGGAGCTGGAGGGAGGCAGTGCACTCGCACACACACGCATGCACACACTGCAGTGGAGCTGGAGGGAGGCAGTGCACGCACACACACGCATGCACACACTGCAGTGGAGGTGGAGGGAGAGAGTGCACACACACACACGCATGCACACACTGCAGTGGAGGTGGAGGGAGAGAGTGCACACACACACACGCATGCACACACTGCAGTGGAGGTGGAGGGAGAGAGTGCACACACACACACGCATGCACACACTGCAGTGGAGGTGGAGGGAGAGAGTGCACACACACACACGCATGCACACACTGCAGTGGAGGTGGAGGGAGAGAGTGCACACACACACACGCATGCACACACTGCAGTGGAGGTGGAGGGAGAGAGTGCACACACACACACGCATGCACACACTGCAGTGGAGGTGGAGGGAGAGAGTGCACACACACACACGCATGCACACACTGCAGTGGAGGTGGAGGGAGAGAGTGCACACACACACACGCATGCACACACTGCAGTGGAGGTGGAGGGAGAGAGTGCACACACACACACGCATGCACACACTGCAGTGGAGGTGGAGGGAGAGAGTGCACACACACACACGCATGCACACACTGCAGTGGAGGTGGAGGGAGAGAGTGCACACACACACACGCATGCACACACTGCAGTGGAGGTGGAGGGAGAGAGTGCACACACACACACGCATGCACACACTGCAGTGGAGCTGGAGGGAGGCAGTGCACACACACACACGCATTGCAAGGGAGTGGGAGAGAGGCAGTGCACGCACACACACACACACACACGCGCACGCACATTGCAAGGGAGCTGGAGAGGGGCAGTATGCACACACGCACACGCATGTGCACACACCGGTGCTCGGCCCGGCTGCCCTTGCTCTCGCCTGCGGCCGGGCTGCGCGGGGCCCCGGTGCTGCGCTCCCGCGGGAGACCTGAACCGGACCCGCCAGGGGAGGAGGAAAAGGGGGGAAAAAGAAAGAAGAGAAAACACGGCGGCTGGAAAAGTAGAGAACACATAATAAAACACCACCTCCGGCTCCTTCTTTTCCCGGTTATCAGCTAAACCTGCTAATTGAAAGATGAGTTGGCAAAGTCTGTAACGCTGCATTTATTCAAGGACAATTCACAGGAGAATTAAGGGTAACCGTGTGTTTCCTCTCCTCCCCTGCGCGCCCTTCAGTCTTCCTGCCTGTTGCGTGTTATTTTTGCATCGACCTTGCAGCGCGGCGCAGAGCTACTCGTGGGCACGGCGCTGGGGGTCCTCGCCGGATCCCTGCCCTCCTCTTCCTCCCTGCTCCCGGCCGGGGGCCGCGAGGGCTATCTAGCGGGAGGGGGATTTTTCCCGATCCGCCCG